TTGAATTAGATTTTTAAAGCAACCTAGGGCAAAAATGGGGGGCAGGGGAAGGAGTGCTCTTATAACAAGCCTGTGGCTGAGAATGAACATTTTGCAGCAATAGATACTTTCATTTATTTATTGACTATGGAAGTTCTATCTCTTGACAAGGCCTATTGTAGATATTGCTACAATAAAATCAGTAAGAACCAAACATTAAGACAGCAGCTATGACTCTAATGCAGTTTTTGTTTTCAACAGCATTTATTGTTTACTGTGAACCTAGCCCTGTAGTTTATAAGAGTATGCAAAAATATTTAGCAGATGGATCAACTTCATCTTTTTTTTTTTTTTGAGACGGTCTCACTATGTAGTTGAGACTGACCTGAAACTCACTATGTAGCCCCGGCTGGTCTCAAACTCACAGAGATCCTCCTGCCTCAGCCTCCCAAGTGCTGGGATTACAGGCATGTGCCTACTATTCAACTTCATTTTTTACAATGTGTGTGAATAGTGATACAGCACCTACCTAATGTAAGACCTAAAGTCTCACTTCCACTCCACGGAGCATGAACAGCCTAAAGGGCCTTCACGATGCTGAGTCCTATAGCCCAACGATGGCTCTGGATGCAAGATCCAGGGACTTACTTTCTGGAGCCTTGAACAGCCCAAAGGGCCTCCAAGATGTTGGGACCTATAGCTCAGCGAGGCTCCGGGAGCTCGACGGAGGAACGAGAGTCACCCAGGAAGGAACAACCAGGCTCGTTGGTAAATAGACCTTTATTAGTCTGCCAGACGGCACTCTCAGAACTGAGCAGCTCAGAGAGGCCCAGCACAGGGGTCAGCACAGTTTTGTTTTGTTTTGTTTTTTTCCAGCTTTAATTGAGTTTATTGGTATATTTTAGGGATACAGTACAGTTACATTCATTGTTGGGATCTTGTACCTCTACATGACAAGTCTTGATTCTCATTTTTTCCCCTTACCCCTGCCCTCCCTTCACCCCCTCCTCCCCTCCCCATCTACAAACACTTTATTTTCATCTTTTCATTATCTCACATTTTTTTCTTTTCCCTTTTTACTCTTCCCCTACCCATCCCACCTTCCCTACACTTTTTAGCTCCTTTCTTCCCATTTCTAAATGTCAGTAGTCTTATTAGAATCTTATGCATTGTTGCAGATTATTTACACCAGGGAAACTATTTGGTATTTAATGTGTGACTTATTTATTTCACTTAGGAGTGTATCCTCAATATGTATCCATTTTCCTATGAATGAATCTATTTTCTCGTTCTTTATGGCTGAGTAATATTCCACTTTATAGAAAAACCACAACTTCTTTATCCACTTTCCAACGGATGGGCAAATAGGCTGTTCCCAAGATTTAGCTATTACAAACTGCAGCACAGTTTTTTAAAGGCAAGGGAAGAGGATTGCAAGCACAGCAAGTGGGCCAGGGGTCAGGGGGTCGGTTTTCTGCCGTCTGTCTAAAGGAGTCAGCTATACGGTGCACCTGGCCTTTCATCTGCAGACCTCAGGCTGTTCTGTTCTGACGGCCTTGAGTCGCTATCTTGTTTACCTGAACCAGGCTTCCATACACTCTGTTTTAACCTTATCTTGGAGCTTGGTAGAAAGAAATGTTGCTGCTATGTGCTGGCTAACTAGGGGTTACATAGCGGTTAGGGTCCCACACTAACCGTGTCTCAGCTGCCTATGTATACTCTTGCAATAACTCCCATTTACTAACTTGATGGCGTTATACCCATTTTTAAATGAGGAAACGGGCACAGAGAGATAAAAATTCTTACTTAACTCACTGTACATAGTGGTGCTGGGGTTAAGAACCTGGCCGTGTGCCTCAGGTTAGCCTTAGTAATGTAGTATTTCGCAGACATTTATTGAGTACCTTTTGTTGATAAGGGATTGAGTGGAGTCATTTCTTAAGCTTCATTCATTCATTCATTCATTTATTTGTTGAAATGCTTTTGAATATTTACTATGTCACATCTGTGATTTTGTGGAATTTATAGATTAGTGGGGAATCAGACTATCAATAAATACATATTTTTCAAATAGTGGAAAGTCTTGTAAAGAAAATAAATCTGGAGGAGCTAGAGAATGCAGTGGGGTACAAGAATACTTTTAGATTTTATGGCCTGAAAACCCTAAATAGGTGTTGTTTGAGCAGAAACCTATTTGAAAAGATCCCAGCCACCTGGAGCCCTGGGGGGAGAGGGGTGTTCCAGGTAGAACTAGCAGCAAGTACAAAGGCCCTGAGGTCAGAGTGAACCAGGGCAATGCAAAGCCCATTCGTGTATTCTGAGTAGGACAAACTGGGGAGAGAAAAGCAAATGCCAGTCCTGTCAGCCTTTGTGTGCTGTGAGAGGGAATTTGGACTTTTCTTCTGAATGCTACAGGGTGTCTGGGAGTTTTGAGAAGAGCTGGATATGTTTTTATTTACACTTTTTTTCAGCTTTAATTGAGTTTATTGGTACCTTTTAGGGATACAGTACAGTTACATTCATTGTTGGGATCTTGTACCTCCACATGACAAGTCTTGCTTCTCATTTTTTCCCCTTGTCCCTGCCCTCCCTTCACCCCCTCCTCCCCTCCCCATCTACAAACATTTTATTTCCATCTTTTCATTATCTCACATCTTTTTCTTTTCCCTTTTTACCCTTTCCCCTACCCATCCCATCTTCCCTACACCTTTAGCCCCTTTTGAAGATATACTCCTAAGTAAAATAAATAAGGCACACATGTGTAAATAGCGAATAGTTTCTCTGGTGTGAATAAACTAATAATACAGAAGATCCTAATAAGATTACTGACATTGTGGAATGGGAAGAAAGGGCTAAAGGTTTATTTACATTTTTAAAAGAGCACTCTACCTGTGGTATGGAGAATGACTGTAGGGTAGTGAGAGTAAGGCAGGAGGCCTTGGCTTTGAGTTCAGGGGTCCCCACACTCCTTGGGTTCTAGAATTCATGTTGTCCTGAAGTAGTGCCACCTAATAGTACCTGCCCTTAAGTGCCGCAGACCAAGTCACTGGAGGCCTCAAGTAGGCGGAGAAACTGGGGTCATTAAGTCACCTAACCCCCTTGCCACCTCCCTGGGACTCTCATGTTTCCCTTTGCTTTTATTTTTCACAGTGACCATGTCTTGAAGATTCATTTGGGAATAAACTTGTATTCAGACTTTGAGGAAAAATGTTTCTTGTTTGGCTTTAAAAACAGAAGCTTCATGGGAGGAAGAGGTGGGGAAGGGGAAATAAAAAGGACCAAGGAGTGAGATGTATATGTTCCAATTCCCCCACGAAGGTATTTATTGTATATCACAAACATATACCAAAAACCAAACCAAAGCTTTGTGTTTACCCACAAAGATTTGTGACCAGAGATGCAGACGAAGGGCGATGGTAAGGGATGTGAAACCCCGTGGAGGGGATTCGGCTTTGTACAAAGTGCTGACCAAGAACCAGAAACCTGATCAGCCCTTGGCATAGCAAACACTCACAGCTACACTTCTGGGCAAGTGACTTAGTCTCTTCGATTCTTTGAGACAGAGTCTCCCTGTGTAATTCAGGCTGGCCTGGAACTCACGGCGATCTCGAGCCTCAGCCTCCTGAGTGCGGGTATTACAGGTTTGCACCACCATGCCTCACAGTTTAATCTTTTTGAGTCTGCTTCATTGGTGGAGATGATGCCTTCCTGCTTCTCAAGAGGCTGTCATGGAGACAGTGACATCAGAACCAGATGTGCCCTGGGAGTCCGAGGTGTGACATTGCTGCTCGGCAGATTACAGGTGTCTGTAGCTCCTTGGCTGGTTCTGTGTGTTCCATTTCAATTCCAGGGGCGAGTTCATTCCTGAGATGAGGAGTGTGGGTGCTTTCCCTGGTTGTGTGGGCCCAGGAAGAATCTGGAGCTGTGACAAGATGTGACTGACTCTTCCCTCTGTTCTATCTGGCCACACATTTCAGACCTTTGTAGGCTGCTCCTGGAAGGTCCCCAGGCGAGGTTTAGGGGAGCTGGCTTAATCACTGCAAAACCTGGGGTAAGACAGCGGGTTATTACACCAACCACACACCCACAGACAGTACACACATGCGTGTGCACACCCGGGTAAACCAGGCATCCATAATATTTTATTGCATATTTCTGAAAGAATTGTAAAATTGTAACACTTTCATTGTCACCCTGAATGATTTCATACTTTAAAAATGCAACTGATTAATACTCACATTTCCTCAGACCCTCTTGCATCTTTTCCTTTTTACATTTTGCTTTATTGTAACTGGTGGCTGTTCCCTTAAGTCTCACCGACAGGTATAGTCGGTTCTCCACACCATACCTGCAGGTGCTTCTTTCATGTCTCTGCTTCCCCCTCCTGGACTGTGTTTGTGAAAGAAGCTGGGTTTTGTTTCTCTTTAGTTTCATGTAGTTTTGCTAATTGTATCCCCAGTGTATTGTTTAACATATTCTTCAATCCATTATCTTTCCTATAAATTGGTGTTGTACACAGAGGCTAGTTCAGGATTCAGATATTTTTTATTTATATTTCTGCCAAGCACACTTCTAAGTGGCAGGGTGAGCCTCTTTCACGAGGCTCATCATTTTTAGTTGTCTCTTTGTGATTGGGTTGCTAAATGTCTAGTGCTAATTAGGGCTCAGGCCTCTCAGTGTTTACCTGGGCCCAGACGGTGGTCTTCAGAAAGGGGAAAAGAGTAGAATTTGGCCTCTGCACACAGTTCTTTCTTTGACAGCCTAATTGTGGTCTATTCACTGCAAACTGTTGCTGGAAGAGGAAAGGCGGACTTGGTCTTAGAATGCTGCCATCATTTGTTTCTCTCTCTCATAAAGGCTCTGTTTGCACAGGAACATTGAGTGAGGAGAGGCTCAGATATTTTGAAAATACTTCTGTGTTTTAGAGGTGTTTTCTGGTTTGGCTAAACCAGATACTTTTGCTGAAGTTCTCCATTGTGTGTTTTCATTTAATTTATAAGGTGACTTTTTTCTTCCTTTAGGATCTCATATTGCCCAACGGTGGCACTCCAGCAGGCACTTCGAGTCCAGCCTCTTCATCTTCCCTTCTGAATAGACTTCAGCTTGACGATGACATTGACGGTGAGACCAGAGATCTCTTTGTCACGGTTGATGACCCCAAGAAGCACGTCTGTACGATGGAGACCTACATCACATACAGGATCACCACCAAAGTAGGTTCCTTTGTTTTACAGTGCTGAGTTCAGTGGGCTCGCAGACTTGGGGTCCTACCTCCACGACTTCTGCTTTGCTTTCAGCCTCCCTTTGTACAACTCCAGTCACCCTTGTTACAATTATGAGTGTTGTTTTTAGAGAGAGTGGACCTATTACAATTACTATTATTATTTTGGATTTTTAGTGCGGGTCTTCTGTGTAGTTTAGGCTGGCCTTGAACTTATTATGTAGCTCACAGCAGCAATCCTCCTGCCTCAGCCTCCCAAGAGCTAGGATCATAGTGTGTACCACCATGGCCAGAGTGAATTAAGAGGATTATATGTAATGTTTTAAGAAATAAGTCCTACAGTGAGGGACAAATGAATGACGTATTTTAAATAAAAGATTTACTACCTGTACTTTCACTTATTATCTGTCACAATACTGTGTAGCATGCTCATATCACATTGCTGTTGAAATTTATGAATCATCATAGCAACCTCAGTGTCTGTGATGAGACTCTGATTATAATTTGGCCTAATTAGGGCTGATGGAGGCAGGACAGAGGGGTAAGAGTTCTAGAAATGATATTGGCCTTCTGCTGTGTGTTAGGGAGGTAGTGAGCAGGGTTCTGTGATTTCATTAATTTTCACAGCATTCCTAAAAGGTCCACAATTTTTCAGTTATAATTTTATAATTTTGCAGACGAGGAAACAATCATAAAGCTTGAGTAATTTGTTCAAGGTTACAGAATTGTTAAACAGGATTCCAACTTGCATTTCTTTGGTTTTTTTTTTTTGAGACAGGGTCTCACTATGTAGTTGAGACTGATCTGGAACTTACTATGTAGCCCAGGCTGGTCTCGAACTCACAGTGATCCTCCTACCTCAGCCTCCTGAGTGCTGGGATTCCAGGCGTGCGCCACCACTCCCGGCTTCAGCCTCCTGTGTTGGGATTACAGGCGTGTGCTATCAGTCCCTGCCCAGCTTGCATTTCTGATACTATAAAGTTCATATTTTTATTTTAAAACCCTTGTCTTTTACATAATTGAATTTATAAAAGAATAACTTTAATGTTTTTCTTTTTTTGTGGTGCTGTGGATTGAGCCCAGTGCTCTGCTACTGAACTATACCCTCTGCTCTGTGACACACACACACACACACACACACACACACAGTTTAACAGCCCAAAACACACACACACACACACACACACACACACACACACACACACACACAGAGTTTAACAGCCCAAACTGTCTCCAGGCTTTGGCAGGTAGTCTCTGGGGAGCAGAATTGTTCTCTAGTTGTAAACCACTGATCTACATTATATTATTAAGGAGAAAATTCACATTGTTGCTTTGTATTTTAGATTTTTAAAAAAGTGTTTTAGTCTCCTATTCTTGTATTTTCCTTACCACAATCCACATAATGAAGCAGCATTTACAGATAGTTTCAGAAGTTTTAATAGATGGAAGTGTCTTTATGGATGGTGTTAAGAAGAGCTTAGATGAGCATGTCTCTCTCTTTTTGCTGTGGCTTTTCTCTTTTTAATTGCAGAAAGATTTTATTTTTTCATAATTTTTCCTGTTTTTGGTTTGTTTTGTTTTTGAGACAGGGTCTCATTGTGTAGTTCAGACTGGCTTTGAACTCATTGTGTAACCCATGCTAGCCTGGAATTCATAGAGCTCCTCCTGCCTCTGCCTCTCACATACTGGAATTACAGGCATGTACACCACACCCTACTTAAAAAAAACAACTAAAAAACCCACTTTTTTTATTGCAAAAACTTAGTAGATTTTGTGCCTTAATGTTTAAATTCTTTGGAAAGAGAAACAGTGAAATATACTGAAATGTTGTTTCTTTGTCTTTTATTGGTTGAAGATATTACATTTTAAAAATTATGTAAGGTAAATACATTGTCCTAAAAAGGATAAAATAAAAGAAACAATGCTCCGACCAGATACAGAGTAGAAAATTGTGCATCTTCCTTGGTCCTATGTAGAGGTTTTTCTTACCAAAAGCAGCTATTACTGAAACTTGGTGTGTGTTCCTCCAGTCCTTTTTCTTTTTATTTACATATATGTGTGTGTGTGTGTGTATGTATGCACACACACACACAGGAACAGTTACATTTCCATGTATATTGCTTTCTCTTTCCCTTCCATTTGACAATATTTTTGAAGATCTCTGTTCATACATAACTGTGTCTAGCTTATTCTTTCAGTCTCTATTTATGTAGTGGTTTCACAGTTCTTTTCTCTTATTTACACTTACACAAGTGTTTTGAAGTTACTGCTCCTGGTTCATACTCACAGATTGAGCTGTACCAGAGTGTCTTTCTCTATTGCCACCTTTGGCAGGTGCTTATGTGCATATTATTTTCTCAGAGGTCCTAGTGTGATTCCAGGAATGCTTTCCTTTTATTTTTTACCCTGTGGTCAGTGAAATGCAAAACCTGTTTTTCTTGAATTGGTGCTATAAACTGCCATGTGACAAGGTGACTCCCTCAGTAGTACAGTCGTCCTGGCTAAGTGTAACATTTTCCCACAGACACTTGCTTCCATTGCCCTGAAATTTACTCCACCCTGACCCCCAAAGCAAATGTTAACTTCTCTTAACTGCCTCAGAGGCTCATGTGCCTGCATAGTCACCAGTATCTTAGGCATCTTTTTCCTTTTTTTCCTTCTCTACCTTTCCCCTTCTCTGTCCTATTTCTGTCCCTTATTTGGGGCTTTGATACCCTGTAAGTTAGAAACTGACCGAGAGAAACGTTTCCCAAGTTCTAGTCCCATATTTTCACTTGGCTGTGATGAGAGTTCCTTAAGATGAACTTGTTGCAGAATTTTCACTTCTTACTCTCTCTTGTCTTCCACTTCTGATTCCACACCAGAGCTGTCCACTTTTCCTGTTTCTAGCAGGAAAACGAGGTCTAACATCTGGTGGTTTACTTGGAACCTTCTTTCTGACAGCGGTGTTAAAGGCTGTGTGGGAGTGTGGGGGTGAGAGAAAGGACAAGCAGGGACATGGGATGCCATACCTGATCCTGTCCTGGCTGCTTACATCTTTGTTCCAGGCAAAGGGAATCTTGTCAGAGAACGAAGTTTACAAATGCTTGTTTTATTCCTTTGAGGCTGCAGCTTCTCCATCCTAATTCTGTTTCCTGATCACCAAAGCTGGCCAGAGTATGGAGCCTAAGGCTGAAAGCGTGGATAGAAGTGGGAGGATATGCGATGTAATGACCAAGCCAGGTGTGGCGGTGCACTCCTGTAATCTCAGCACTCAGGAAGCTGAGGCAGGAGAGACACCTAGAATTTGAGGCCATACTGGGCTTTATAGTGAGTTTAGGACTAGCTTGAACTACACAGTGAGACCCTGTCTCAAAAAAAAGAAAAAGAAAAGAAATAATCATCGATATCTTTCTGAGACATTTTCCTCTATGCTTTTACAAAAATGAGTATTTTGTATGCACCCAGCTCATTTCGTACGTGGAAAATGACTCTGTGCTATTGCTATTAAAGCACACCTTCACGTATCACTGAAGGCCGCAGTGATGTTCTGTTGTATAGCTATGCCATTATTTGTGCTGAGCGCTCTAAGTATATTATTACATAATGTTCACACTTAATGAAGTAGATATTGGGACTGTTCTTTACAGATGAGGAAACTGAGAGGTAGAGACATTAAGAAAATTGCTAAGATGTGCAGTTACTATTTGTGGGGGGCATGAGTGTCTGGCTCTCAGATTCCAGTCATGCCTTTAAGAACTGTGCTTTAGAGGGCTGGGGATTTAGCTCAGTTGTTCCGCTGCCTGCCTTGCAAGCTCAAGGTCCCCGTATACAAAAAAAAAAAAAAAAAATTGTGCCTTACCTCTCAAAGCTGTGTCTTCCCAAGGGCATCGACTCTCAGTGGCTACTAAAACTGCTGATGCAGAAGCAGACCTGAAGCTGGGTCTGCTCCTGAAGCATTGTCTGCTCCTTTAGATGGGTGGTGATGTCACCCAGCAGTCGTCACCACCTCCCTCGCTGCAGCCAGTCCTTCTTTGCAGAGGCCTCAGTGGTCAGGAGAGACTAAATACCATCCAGAGGTCAGATTGTATATAAGTACCACAAAGTGGACATTAGATTTAATGAAGAGGTTGCGGGTGACTGTGGGGAGAGCAATTTCGTTAACCATGGTGGTGCGCAACCCAGTTGGCGGGGGGTCAGGATGAATGGAAGGTAAGGGAGAGAGGATATGAATGCTGTAGTTTAGCAACAAAAACAAGAATAAAACGTAGAGCAAGAGCAGTATTTGGAGGAGGGTGTGGACTTGAGGGAGAGTGAGGCTTGTGTTGTATGTGTATGTATTTTTTTTGTTTTTGTTTTTGTTTTTGGTACCAGGGATCAAACGCAGGACCTTGTGCTTTCAAGGCAGGCGGTGGCACCACGGAGCTAAATCCCCAGCCCTTTTATTTTGTTTTGTTTTTGTTTTTGCTTTTTGAGGCAAGGTCTTGCTGTGTAGCCCAGGCTGGACTCAAACTCTCAATCCTCCTGCCTCAGCCTCCTGAGTGCTGGGATTATAGTTGTGCACCACCCACCACCCCTGGATTTGTGGGTTATTTTTAATGGATGAAGGAGACCTGAATGCCAATGGGGCAGTGTTGGTAGAGAAGGGGACAGGGGATTGAAGTGTGGGGAGGAAGGCAGAAGCCCCTTGAAGGTGGAAGGAGGAGGTAGTGTGTTGCTCACAGGTGCAGAGATTGGCTCTTGGGGGGGGTGGGGGACGCACTTTTGCCTTTGTTCCAGGAAAAGAAGGGAAGCTTCTGTGGCCGGAAGTTGAGGGATTCTCCGCTTATACAGCAGTTTTCTCTATGAATACGTGATGAGATCTTCCACTGAGAGTGAGGAGGAAGTTTGAAGTGGGGGCTAAAAGTCTTCAAAATTTGTACAGGCTTTTTAGTAACTGATGCGGAGAATGAGGGAGAATCGGCAGAGTCCACACTGCTTGACAGTGCCGAGGCTGCAGTTGTAGAATTTGTGTCCCTCTTTGTTTGCCTAATTCGCTTTTCCTGCAGCAGTGTGCTCACATGACCAGGCCTGCTAAAACAAAGGCCGGTGGCGGGTTTTGCCTGAGCTGAGTGAATGGCCAATGGGAAGGGAGCATGTGATATGGCACATTGAAGTGATAGGCCATAGAACTGATGCTGCACAAGGAAGAAAGGAAAGAAAGAAAGAAATAGAACGGTGAGAATCTTTAAGTCCCAAGAGGCTGAAAAAGAGGGATATTGAGAAGCAGAAGGTGGAAATGTGGGGGTGCTGTTTAGAGAGGGAGTTGCATGAATTTCCACCTGATGACAGTCTGGAGAGGGAGTGGAGCGGACAGAGAGGCAGGTGTATGGCGAACCAGCTGGCTCTGGAGGGCAGGAGGGCTTTGGAAAGGAAGCTGGACAGCCAGGTGCTGCGGTGTTCAGGGCATCAGAAGAAATAACAGGGTATCAGTAGCTAGAGGAGAATGTGGGCTTGAGAGGAGGAGGCTTTGGTATATTTCATTTTGGTTTTGAAGGGAAGGGTCTTGCTGTGGAGCTCAAGATGGCCTCAAACTTGCAGTCTTTCGGCCTCAGCCTCCTGAGTGCTGAGAGGTGGGCTAGGCGAAGTCTGCAGCATGAGCCTCAGGTTTTCACAAAGCTGTGGAGTGTTGAGGAGCAGTGTGGAATGAGGGAGATGTGTGCAGCCACTCCTTGCCTTGGGGGCCGGGGTGAGGGTTACGGAGTAGAGACTGAGCAGTCCACACAGGGGCAGGGGCAGGGGCCAGGGAGGCTGTACGCACAAGGGAGAGCCCAATTTCCACAGGACTGTGTCACCTGTGGACTGCGTGTTTCAGAGAGCTCGTGGCGAGCTTTTCTCCAAGGAAAGGAAGCCCAGAAAAGCGTGAGGATGAATGGCCAGATGCCTCGCTAGGCATCGTTCTCAGGGGGTCTCTTAGGTGGTGAGGTTTGGAAGCCAAATGGGATCAGCTGGCTATCGTTTGGTAACGGAAGAGGTTTTGATGCCGGGGGACAGGTGTCACTTAGATGTCTGAGGCTTTAGCTATGGCCTAGGGAGATGGTCCTTGTAGTTAAGAGGTGCTCACGTGCACTGATAAGGTGGGCTTCTAGGGTAAAGGCAGGCATTCCTTACTATGGCTTGTGTGCAGTTAGCTATTGTTAGATTTGACGTTAGCTGTGTAACCAGGACCTTCTGATCTAGTTGTAGACACAGATGGAGTGACAAGGACTGAAATGCTATAATGGTTGTCCCTGATGATGAAATGGTGCATTTTTCTTTATTGCTTTGTTAACCCAAGTGGCTGGGAGGGTGGTGCAGCCATGACACCCTGCTTACTCGCTACTCTAGAGAAAATTATTTTCTCAATGGTGTGGTCCTAGAAGTAGAGTTACAGTGCTTATAGACATAAATATAAAAAAAGCCATCCCTCTGCTGGGTATCTTTCCAAAAAAATTAAAAGAATCATAACACAGTGACATATGCACACCTATGTTTATAGCAGCACAGTTTGTAAGAGGTAAAACTTGGAAACAGCCCATTTGCCCATCAGTTGGAAACTGGATAAAGAAGATGTGGTTAGAAGTAGAGTTACAGTGCTTATAGACATAAATATAAAAAAAGCCATCCCTCTGCTGGGTATCTTTCCAAAAAAATTAAAAGAATCATAACACAGTGACATATGCACACCTATGTTTATAGCAGCACAGTTTGTAAGAGGTAAAACTTGGAAACAGCCCATTTGCCCATCAGTTGGAAACTGGATAAAGAAGATGTGGTTTTTCTATATAAAATGGAATATTACTCAGCCATAAAGAGAAAATGTAAAAATGGAATTAAAGTGTTTGTAGGTGGGGAGGGGAGGAGGGGTTGAAGGGAGGGCAGGGACAAGGGGAAAAAATGAGAACCAGGACCTGGCATGTAAAGGTACAAGATCCCAGTAATGAATGTAACTGTACTGTCTACCTAGAATGTACTAATAAATTCATTTTATTAAACAAAACAAAACAAAACAAAAACCATAAGTAAAGGAGAGGATACAGGAAAGTGTGTTAATAAACTTGTAGTGGGATGACCTTCTTGTTGATAGTACTAAAAGTATCTAATGGGAAAAATGGGTGAAATCTATATAATTTAAAAATTCTGTTTAAAATCCATTTGGGAATTTTAATAGGCAAATTGCATTGAAGAGTTTATACAAATGAAAATAAAACAAAAAACCCAGAAAGTGTGTAATTAAATATTTGAAGGAATGTTTTAAATTTAAAAGCCAAAGAAGAGTAATATATTACTTTGCATTTGCATGTCTGTCAAAAATAACTAGTTTCTGGGAATATGTAATGAGAACATAAATTGGCTTTTTTTTTGGTACTGGGGGATCGAACTCGACCTTGTGCTTGTGAGGCAGGCAGGCAGCAGAACTACTGAGCTAAATCCCCGGCCCAAACTGGCTTAATTTTGAAAGCAGTATGTCAGTTAAAAATGTATGTATACTTTCATCCAGCAATTCTATCATTAGGAATTCATTTTAAGGGGATTATTGGATAGAGATTGTTGTTGTCTGCTGTAGCATTATTTAGTGACTGAAAAAATTAAAAACTTAAATGAGGATCTGGTTTAACTGCGGTATGGCAAGTCATCAGGATACTATATTATATTATATAAAAGGATATTATATTGTAGGTACACACATATATGTATACGTGTCTATACGATATATATATATATATGATATATGTATATGTGTGTGTGTGTGTGTGTGTGTGCGCGCGTGCGTGTGTGCCTATAATCCCAGTACTCAAGAAATTGAGATAGGCGGATCACCAAGAGTTCAAGACCAGCCTGGGCTACATGACTAGTTTAAAGTCAGCCTGAACTACAGTGAGACCCTGTCTCAAAAATACCCAAGGGCCAGGGATTTATCTCAGTGGCACTGCACCTGCCTAGCAAGCACAAAATCCTGAGTTTGATCTCTGGTATCACAAAAGAAAAGAAAAAGAAACAGAAAAAGAAACAAAGGGGGAAAAAAAAAACCCCAAACAAACAAACAAAAAAAGATGTCCAAGATATATTAAAGTGAAAGAAAACTGAGTGAGAGAATATGCATAAAATATGGAAAAATATAAACCTTAATATTAATTTTTCTGTTTAGATGGATTATGGCTGATCTTTTAGTTTTCATTTCCTTATTTTTCCTGAAGTTTTAAAAGAAGTCTATAGAGCTTAAATATATAGAAATTAAACAAAGGAACCAGTTCCCCAAATTTGTTGTATTAAAACTAAACTTATACTTTATAATGTACAAGTTTAGTTTGTAAATGTATGTAATGTAATTTTGTAGTCACCAGATACTTATTTCAAATTTAAGAGTAGAAACATTACGTATTTATAATTTATGAAATGAAATTGAAAAACGTGATGAAACAGTAGAGTTGATAGTCGTATAACATTTAGAAAGCCAAAAAGGAAGCCCTCCATCAGTCCTGTTTGCAGTGGAAATGACTTGCTGTCCTTCGTCACCTTTCACATTCTGCCTCTCGGGGGCCTGGAATCATCATCCAGTCCTCTGTTGGAGCCTGGTAGGGAATGAAGATGTCCCTGTCAATCTCTTCTTACTGGTGAGGAAAGAGGCTCAGAGCGGCTTACTGTCTTCACAGGGATCTGCTGTGGCCTCTGCCAGGGAGGAGTCAGGAAGTCTGTCCTTGACACTTCTTTCATGCTGTGCCTCAGAGTTCATCAACAGAGAGTGATTCTTTGGATTCAAGCATTGTCTCTCCCAACTTCTGATTCTACCATTCCAATTCCTTTGGGCTTCTCCTACTGGTTTACAGATAGCTAGGTTAGATAAGTGTCCTCACATCTTCCCACTCCTTTCACCCCCAAACTTAGGGGAAGGATGTGTTTCATGGTTTTTTGCTGGTGCCTGAGACTTTGAAAAAGGGAAGCCATACAGAAAAAGCTATTGGGGGCCACTTCAAGACTGGGTCCTTTACCTTGACAAGTTTACCCAGGCCATGAGCATTGATCTGGGGGCAGGGCCAAAGCTGTCCTCAGCTTCTGTTTTGATGGATGACTCTTCCTTATGTGTTGTTACGATTGTAGACTTGAGAAAATACATTTATAAAACGTAGCTTGAGCCATTTATATCTTGTACTTTAAATCCTAAGATTGGTAACTATCGATAACCTTTCTAGGGGAAAATGGCTTATTGGAGACATGATTGTAACTGGGGAATCAAAATCTTTTGGTATGAATCAACTTAATTTATTAACACTAGTTTTATTATTAATGACATCATAGAAAACTTTAAACATTCAGGAAAGGGGATAAGATTATTAATGTTTTTCTGCTCTTCAGTGGAATCTTGTTATTTCCTTATAGATATTTTCTTATGCATCTCAAATGCAATACACTTTCAAGGTCACAGTTCTGGCTTCTGGTAGAAGATGGCAGAGTAAACAGAACCTTTTCTATTTTCATCTAATCTGCCTTCTAACTGAGCAGTGCTGTTACCTTTTTATTATGTTCCTTTTGGTTTCAGCAAAGCTTTTCAGCATATTTAGCAGCAGATAGAGAGTTAATTTATTTCATGGGTTTGGATTCATTAATAATATCCTAAGTGAAATTATTCTGCAAAAAGAAATTCCCATAGTTAAGGTTGGAGGAAATGAATCAAATGTTCTAAACAATTCTGAGAATAGGTGAGTTCTGTTTCCTGAGGGTCAGGGGAAAAAAATCAAACCAAAACCTGATGTTTTTATTCTAGCTCGTTGAAAGTTTGACCAGGTTGAGGCCCAGACTAACCTTTCCTGATCGATACACTCTCACTGGTGTGTGTGGTGGAAGGAACGTGTTTTTTTTTTTTTTGCCTAGTGTGATTACTTGAAAGAAGTGTTTTTCCTTCTCTTCAGCCAAGATACGCTACTATTCCTTAAGTTTATTTTTTTCCATTCTCTTCTTATTTGCAGAGTACTCGGGTGGAATTTGACTTGCCAGAATATTCTGTTCGTCGAAGGTACCAGGATTTTGACTGGTTGAGGAGCAAACTGGAGGAATCGCAGCCCACGCATCTCATTCCCGTAGGTAGTACTCACCACGGCTCATTTCTCACTTTTCCCGTATTGTCTTTCTCGTGCTGCTCGTTCAGCTCTTGCCCCATCAGTGACGGATCTGTACCCCACGCATTTTATTCCACCTCTACCCCGCAAATGCTTGTAAAACATACCGGATGGCTTCTGATTTGCTGTACAGCGTGCCAGTTGTGGGGTGCGTGGGTGGATTTTTGACAGTTTGTAAACGAGGCATCCGCTGAATCAGCTTTCCTGGAGAGGTTTTTGACGGTTTTTGAGGAGTGAGGAACCCTGATTTGCACTTGCTGTGTGTTGAAAGACGGAAGCCTGGAAGCACGAGCCTTACTGAGGTTGTGTTTTCCCCTTGCTACGCTGTTCTGAGGGTTGGGTGGCTGCCACCAGGTGTGGAATGATGACTCACACTGTGGCTGGCTGGGCATCTTCGACAGGAGTAACTCAGTGAGCAGGAATCTACGCACATCATTCATCCAACCATGATTTTTATTTAAAAAACAGACAAGAAAACTCCCGAGCTGTAGATGTAGTTCAATGGCACAGCATGTGCCTGGCAAGCACAAGGCCCTGAGTTTGATTTCCGATACTATGGAAAAACCCCAAAATTCCCTAAGTGTATTTATTGAAGCAGCATAACATTAACCTACTACTTACATCTGCACATTTTTTTTAACAGAACCAGAGCAAAACCAAACAAGTGATAAATTAACATGCATAATATATTAAATACATTTCTCACTACATTTTGTTTTTTGTTTTTGTTTTTGTTTTTGTTTTTTGTTTTTTGAGACAGGGTCTCACTATGTAGTTGAGACTGATCTGAACTCACTATGTAGCCCAGGCTGGTCTCGAACTCACAGCGATCCTCTTGCCTCAGCCTCCCATGTGGTGGGATTACAGACGTGAGCCACCATGCCCGGCT